AAAACACCCCCTAACAATACCACAAGTTCCCTCTAAAAAAAACGTGACCCCAATACAATGGAATACAACCCTGCCCTCTAGCCARCTCCAMSCCCCCCWAAAAAAATCGGAAACCAAGACCACGACGAACAAACAACAGACAAAATAACCTACACAGTCAAAAATAAAATCAATAAACCTTCCCCAAAAAAAACAAGGAACGAAACGACACCCATAACCCAGACGCACACGAATCCATTAAAACGGGACCTCAGCCCCGACCATAAAAAAAAAACAACAACGTACGCACAACAAAATTTCGCCTCACGATGCATAAATGCAAACGTGCGATGCACCCACTAATCTGCCATTGCAAACACAACCCCCCTGACCCCCCCACCACCAACGTCCCACCAGCCTGCGACGACCAGCCCATCACCATAAAACAATGCAAGCACAACCCCTACCCCCCCCTCAACCCCTGCCCTTGCTAATCTCTCCACCCCTCGAAATATGCAGCCGCATACCTCCGCCCCCTACTCCCCAACAAAACGCARCCCTTCCCTCTGGCCAATGATAAACCCCCTCGAGGGCCAAGAGCATGACGGACAAATAAACAGACAAAATAACCCGCACGCTCAACAATAAAATCAATAACCTCCCACAAAAAACAAAATACGAAACGACACAAATAACCCAGACACACACGGATTCATCAAAACCGGACCCCGGCTTCGTCCGTAACAAAAAGAACAAACACACACACGACAAAATTTTGCCTCACGATTCGCACGCGCAAGCATACGCCGCACCCACTGACACTAAACTCTCCCGCCCGCTCTTGTACCAGAAACCTGCCATCGCAGACACAACCCTCCTGACCCCCCACACCACCAACATCCCACTAACCTGAGGCGTTCAACCCATCACCATGAACAACGCAAGCTCAACCCTCACCACCCTCTCAACCTCCGCCGTAGTTAGTCTCTCCTCCCCTCGAAACATGCAGCCCCATACCTCTGTCCGACCTATCAGCTGCTTCCCAACCTCACTTTTCCCTTTCTACATAACCATACACCAGCCCAACGGGGATCCTTAGGGCTCCTATGGTCATGGTTCAATCGCACGCGTTAGACGGTCTTTCACCTGTACTCCAGCTCTCAATCTCTCTTCTCCTGCCTCCGCCATCTCCATACCCAATCTTTTGTCCCGCTGAACTGGGGAACACTCGTTCCCACCATAGCCAGACGCAGAGGATTGGCAGTTTTTTTTGGCCGTAGCACACGTGCATCTTGCACTGCGCTCCGACAGCCCGTGAGAACCAAGCGCAGCAACATCCTGCCTCACGTGACTGAGCGATGGCGCAAGTTGGAGACCACTCCCGTGCACGCACGCACACAGGTTCCCACCATCTGTCGCTCTCTTTTGATGTTGGATAGCTGGGACTTGTGGTGATAATTACTACTTGACGCGTGCCCCTTAC